GCTTGTTCAGGAAGATGGGCAGAATGAGAGCTGGTTGGTGAGGAAGCTCAGAAGGACAGCTGGTGGGTCGCCATGCTCGTTGGCGGAGCGAGGACCGCCAGGCAGGCGAGGGAGCAGAAGGCAGCCAGGCAGCGGCGCGGAGGAGGAGGTGTTGCTTGTTCAAGAAGAATGGTCAGAATGAATTTCACTGGAGAGACAGAGCTTATGTACCCAGCAGCCGTGAGTCTTGTTGGGAAAACCCGAGAAAGTCGCCAGTTCCTGGTTCCGTTGCTAAGATACGGTAACATCTGGTTGGTTGCTAGGGAAGGCCTTAGCAGGTGGTGGCTGTGGCTACGCAGTTGTAGGGGAGACGTCCACTTCACGTCTGTCCAGCTCGACAAAAGCGGGTGTTTAGACGACGAATGGCTACGTTCGGGTGCTGGAAAAGCCAAAGACCACGAATAACGATTTAAAACGGCGAATAAGTTGGAACAAGTCTCCGTTTTAGGTTATATTATAAATTTCAAGAATTTATGTAAGTTTTTACTTAAACTAATATGAAGCTCATTTGAGCACTAATCAGGCCAGCAATGTTCGTTGCCAGACCGTTGTTATTTTCTTGCAACAGGCAAATTCATACTGCCTGCTGGACAATAGCCAGCGGCCAGCAAAAATGGTCTATGTTAGGATGAAAGTGCCCAGTGTGCTGCCGTCTTTATTTTGATTAGCAGAGATATAAAAACTACTAGACTTTATATAAAGAAATGTTTCACTAAAAATACAAAAACGCATAGCAATACACTTTTATTTGCAGATCTTTCTATTAAGATTAATTAATAACCGATTCCCAAAATTATGGCTGTACAATAAGGATATGTTATGCCTAAATATAAGCCCAGCATGACCTACCGAAAGAGAATTTGTAAAGCCGCTCTTCTCCCTACAATCCATGGCATATTGGGTAGTCCTTTACACAACGCCTATTGCTTATATATCCAATAAACCTATGTCTGAAGCTATCCAGCGTATTCGGGTTAATGATGATGATTAGTAACTTGTACCACTCGTCCACGACACTCTTTCTAAACCAATGTTTACCCAATTTCTCAATAACATCGTTGTGTATCTTGTTTCCCTGCTTACATTTCATATATTGAGTACTTTACATTTGTCCACATTGAATTTCATCTGCCATTTTTCAGACCATTCGAAAATTTTTTTTACATCTTCCTGTAGTTTTGCGGAGTCCTCGTCAGATTTAATTACACGTCCTATTTTAGTGTCATCAGCAAATATACTTATGTTGCTGTCTACGCTGATATCTATGTCGTTTATGTATATAATAAATAATAATGGTCAAAGTACTGAGCCTTGCAGAAACCACAGTAGGTAGAAGGTAGATAGGCAACTACCAAACAGGGCAAAATTGATGGGCAAACCAACGGTGTGTCCGGTGCGAGGTCGAGCGAAATCACCAGATAAGGCTGTCTGCCTGGTGGTTGGACCGTTTGCTGCCGGGTCCATTCTCATGTAGTTAGTGAAGTCTTTCTCATGTTCACCTTGCAGTTCACGTAAAATCGTGGCACGACTTCCCTTAATTTTTCATTGAGATAACCATTCCTTGCACCATTCCCTTTTCTGTTATTTCTTCTTTTTGCATGCTGTACCAAATATTATACACAGCGCTATAGTCTTCGATTTAACTGTCCTGCGACACACCATGGTGATCGTACCGCAGCAGCTACTGCAGACCACCTACTAGCTACCAGCGGCAGAGTGTGACTGCTGCCAACCAGCACCTCCGTGTGTACGACGACACACAGGCTGTGCCCGGTAAACGGGCAAAGTCCGCTGGGCACTGTTCGATCGTGTGGACGGGGCTTAATGTGTTGTATAATGGTAGACCCTGCTGCTATATGACATCACGAAAATTGTGACCAAGTCCCAGGTTGCTCATCTGACTTTCTCTATCATTTACACACAATTGCAGGGTCTCAATGTTTTTTCTTAACATTGACAACACAACACAACATACATATAATGTTTCTCACTCTTGATCTTTTTTATTTGTTGGTGTTCCCAGGCTCTGATGTGGGTAAGTGACCTGTGCCCGGGTGGGCTAATCCCTGTAAAAAAAAAATGGGTTTCAGTGACGTTAATGCTCACTCTCTATTTTCTGTCTTGTAACCACGCCCTAATCCATTTTAGAATATCACCTTTAATGCCACGAGCCTTCACTTTTCGTATTAGGCTATCGTAGGAGAGACTGTTCGAAGGTTTTGCTAAAGTCGAGATATACCACATCATAATTGTGCCCTCGTCCACTGATTCGAAAACTGATGAAAAGAATGTTAATAGATTATTTAGATATGAACGCCAGCTTGTGAAGCCATATTGGGAATCCTTGATCAACTTGTGCTTCTCCAGGTGATTTCGAATAGAGTTTGAAATGATTGCTTCCAGTAATTTGCCTACAATTGATGTTAGACTGATTGGACGGTAGTTAGAGGATAGTGATCTATCTCCCTTCTAGAAAATCGATATTACATTTGCTATTCTCCAGGATTCTGGTACTACACCTGCTTTTAATTACATGTTAAACAACTTTGCTAGGGGCATACTAAGCTCTTCCTTACATTCCTTTAATACTCTAGCAAATATCTCATTGGGACCTGGTGACTTGTTAGGCTTTAGTTTGTCTATTTGCTTACTAACATCGTTACTAGTCATTACTATCTCGCTTAATTTATTTTATTCACTATCTATATAGAGTCGGAGTTTCGGGTGTCATGTTTAAATTTTCGGTGGTGAATACTGTTGAAAAATATTTATTCGCATTATTGCTCATTTCTCCGTCGTTATCAGTTAGCTGGCCGGTATCTGACTGTCTTGGTCCAATCTTTTCTCGTGTTTTGGTTTGATACATTTAATAGAATTATTTGGGGTTTGACTTTGCCTCCTTGCTATCTTCAGCTCATTATTTCTCTTGGCTTATCTCGGTCTTAACCCTACGGGCCCAA